TAAAATGTTAAAAAAAAAAAAAAAAAAAGAGTTACAGTATGAGCACCACAGGGCCAGTTCTTCCCTGTCCTATGGGATTGCTGAGTCAGAACTGCCTTGATGGCTCTGACTTTTGGTTTGGTTTTCTCCTATCGTTGTCCTGTTTAAGACTTAATGTGTGTCTCTATAAATTATATTTAAGTTTAAGGCTTCTTTTTTCCCACAGAACACACCCAAGGCATAATAAAAAAATGGTGCAGACACCCTACAAGAACATTTCTATCCCTTATGCATATGTTAATATCAAGGTTTAAATAGCTGCATAGAAAAATAAAACCCAGCTAGAAGAGGAAATAATAGTTCATACACCATACTTGCTAAATCTGTAGAGAAGACTTTCTTTCTCCCCCCACCCCCACCTCACCATTCTCATATTTTAAACTCACTGCCATCAAGTCAATTCTTGTGGATAAAGTGGAACTGCCCCTGTGGGTTTCCAAGACTCTAATTCTCTACAGGAGTAAAAAGCCTCATCTTTCTCCCACGAAGCAGCTGGCGGTTTCAAACCACTGACCTTGTGCTCAGTAGCTCATTGTGTAACCCACTACAGTACCAAGACTCCTCTCGTATTTTACTAGCCCTTTTCTCTAAATCCTATAAAGCCCAGTTTAACTTCTGGTGTCTGAGAAAGGATTGTATTTGGATGTGTTCACTGGCGTGGTCTGAATGGAGCCTTAGTGAAAGGCCTATGGAACCCAACTGCAAGATGAAATTTGGGTTTTGCTTTGACATTATCTTGTCACTTATGGGGATGCTTGTCTGCCCAGCACACCCTTCTTTTGATGGCACGTTCCCCCACTCCTCCTCATGGTGGGAGAGTTGAACTTCAGAGTTCTACCTGGCTAAGGGATGAGTGAGTGTGGGCAGAGAAGTAGCAGACTGGCCAACTGAAGACCTTTGCCCACTCCACAGGAAGCACATGACTTGGGATCAGTCACAGGACTGCTCAATTTTACCATGTGGGCATTCTCTTACCATTGCAATCTGGAGCTAGGACCGATTTAAGTTTGGGGTCCCTTCCCCGTCCCCACATGGTCTTCTCTGGAATGAAGAAAGTGATCCAGGAGAACAGGAGTGTCTGAAGGAGCAGAGTGGGGGGAGGGGCTGCTGAGTCCTCAGTCCCCCTGGGCTGAAATTCCTGGGGTTAGATAATAGGAAGGAGCAAAATCCAAAACTGGATTAAGAATTCCCTTCTCAGTGAGGATTCTATTTGAGGGTGATCAGAGAAAGGCTGCATGCAGATTCCCCAAGTAACTGAGGAAGGTGGCCCATGTTCTGGTGCATAAAGAATGGAACATGGGCCCAAATGTGAGCTGCCGTGTACGTGGGACTGACAGCTTGGGCTCACCACTCAGGTGGACCAGAAGAATGGGACCACCCAAAGCTAACGGAGCAGGACTCTTGTCTCAGTGGACCTCAACAGTAAGGTCAATGCTCAGGGCTGAAGGGCCTCCACTCAAATCCAGGGCACACAGCCACAAACGGCCCAGAGGGCAGACCCTTGAGAGCTAATGATATTTACTCCATGGACTGGCTTGGTCCCCCTTTGATTCCTTTCGCTTGCAGGGGACTGTCAACCCTGTACCTGTTCCACTACTGTACATGGGAAGCGGCTGCCATGTAGGACTGACTGGTGCTTCTCCCTCTCCCCTTCCCTATCCCTGTGGAAGTCATCTTGCTGGGAGTAGGGATTCTTTCTTCGTAGCTGAGGACAACTCAGTGAACAGGGTCTGGAGCCCAATCACCTGGGTGAAGTCGCGAGCAGCAGCGACGAGACAAGCAAACATGGACTGGGAGCCTGGAGGGGTGGCGGGATGCACAGTGGGGGTAAGGATTCAGCCCTGTAAGGATTCGATTTAAAGATGACCATATAAGGATACTGGGAGATCTCCAATGAACTTGGGCCCACCCAGCAGAACACGAGAAGCTGAGACAAGGATATCCCCCCCTCTCCAGTCAGTGTCCCAAATTCCATGTGAGGCTCAGTCACCCACTCGTAGTATACCTGTTGCGGCAGCACTAAAAAATTAAAGTACACCTTCAAAGTTATGTTTCTTTAAGGGTCTTTGTGAGACTATCAGTTCATACCTTATACAAAGGGGCTTACACAGCTCTTGGAAAAATGGAAAAGATAATGGGATTTTTCCACGGATTTTTCAAAAAATGTGCACCAAAAGGCTATGCACACAGAAACTTGTTGACTATACCATAAAAAAGTCTTATTCTTTAGAACAGAGAGACTGATTCTACCTTGTCTATCTGGAAATAAAATAAAATAAAGGCCTATCACCTACAGAATATCTTTAGACATGATTCTATCCTAGAAGGCTGAGTCCATAGATTCAGGCCCCTAATTAATTATCAAATAGAACACTCCCTATAAAAGGAAGTAATGCTCCTTCTGCTTCTCAAGTTTAAACTTGCTTTCAATAATTAGTCCTTTCTGGTAGACAGAAGAGAATTGGCACTACAGTATAGTTGCCAATACTTTTTGTATCTTTACTACTAATGGTTTTGGCTATGTCTTTTTAACCTATGTGAATATTTTTATAAGCCTGTGCTACATCACAGGACATTCCAATGAGTGATAATTTTGTGATTGAGAAACTACACCAGTGCACAGGACACTCTATGTAAAGTCCTCGCCATAATTCAGACCACAGGACCGTCTGACATAGCAGCCACCATCTGTTTTGTGGTCTGGGTTTCAGTATTCAGGACTCTCTCATTCATTCCTCCCACAGGTGTTCACAGAGCACCTGCCAAATGTCAGGCTCAGGTATCAGCAAAAACTCTGCTTCAAGTGCAAGAAGGTTGCAGAGCAAAAGAGCAACAAATTGACCCCCTTCAAGCAGAAACCTCACTCAGGGCTCAGTTCTCCATCCAGTCTTATGTTTTACTTGCAGTGAAACCTGTCAAAAGTCACTTCACCTTTCTGGGACTCCTCCGTTTCTTCCCCTGTAAAAGGAGGGATTAAAAAATAGAATTCCAACACCTGGACACACAAGTCAACCTGGGGAACCTGACAATTTCCAAACTGTTAGAGACACTCTAGGCCACTATCTTAAAAGGTCCTTTAAGCTTTGCTTCCTTACACTTGAAGCCTTTCTGTGCTGCTTGTTTTGTTCATTTGATGGGTTTTTTTGAACATTACACTCTACTTAGACGAGAGAGGAAAGGTTCAGTACTTAAAACATGACACAAAAGGGACTCCCACAACAAATCTAATGACGTCCATCTGCAGGGCAGGAATGTGACCGGCCCGATTAGCTTCTCCCAAGCTCTCAAATCCTATGATCCCTCTTCCTCTAGTTTTAAATCAAACTATGAAAAGCCAGGAATGTTGTTTTGCATCTTGTTTATAGTCTACTTAAAAAGAGAGAGAAAGAGAGATTTAGGCATTTCCAGGATTGAGGAAAAATGCAAAGGCTAATCTAACAAATATCCAGTACTCTTTAATCCAGAATTAACTGTTAATACTTTGTGGTATTGGCTGTAGTCTCCTGTAATAAAAGAAGTAACAGACGTGGTGAACATCGTCATTGCACCTCCTCCAATCTCCTTTCCCCCCACCACTAAGAAGCAGCCACGATCATGACATTTATAGGTATTCTTCCAGTCTGGATTGCGTTTTTATTTCTTTTATTCAGAGGGTACTTAAAAAAAAAGTATTCATGTTGATAAGCCAGTGGGCTCTTTTTAATGGCCATCCAATATTTGAGTCACTCATTGGCTAATTCAGCAGATCTCTACAATCACGTGCCTTCTTTGTGCCAAGCAGTTTGTTACGCAGTCACTATTGACTGAACCAAGCAGACCAAAAACAAAAAAACAAACCAGAAAGCTTCAGGTACTAGAGGACAAACTATAAACAAGAAATTGTGAATAACATATAGTATATTAAATAATGATAAGTGCTAGGGACTGAGGTTGATGTGGGGGGGGGGGGGGGGTAATGCAGGAAAACAGGATAAGAAATGTCCGGTAAGGGGCAGCTTTTGCAGCTTAATAATGCGAACAGAGAAAACTTTAATAGAAAGAGGGTTTCATGCAATGAATAAAAGGAACTAATGCATTCTTGAGGGAAAAAATCATAATTTACATCGGATATAATCAAATTCAGCAGCATTTTTTTCATTGTCAATTTCTACATTAGCTGCTTAAGAAATCATTTCCTTACTAAAAGTAGCTTTCTACCATTTATTTCACTTTTCACACTTAAGTCTTTAACCCATCCAAAAATGTACAGATGTTAACACTCCAATAACTAAGTCCCCTCAAAATCCTAGCAATCTCTAATATTTTGCCCATCCTCCCTCTCCCAGGGGTGCCCTTTCTGATCATGGAACTGAGTATTCCCAGCCACACTCTTGAGCTCTGCACAGTCTGTTCCATCATATTTACACACAAGTACACATTTAAACAAATACCCACTTAAAACAAATACACATCCATTTAAAAGGTTTTGCACGAGACTACATGGTACCATTTGCACATTGTAGAATACTAAAGGCACCTACCTTTGGCCAAGTGCTCTTCAAAACTGTAGCTCTCTTCCCATCACCAAGTGCATTTCTAAAAAGAAAAATTGAAAAAAAATTCATTGTTGCAATATCTAGTCAAATAAATTAATTTCCAGTTTTAGAAATCCATATAATATACACCCATTATCAAAACTTTGGAAAATAGGTAAAACGAAGAATAGTCACCAATAATCACAATCTTGACCTGGGAATAATGCTGTTTAATCTTGGAGTTTTTCTTGCACCTATCTAGACTGACCTATGTACAACTGTTATTTACATTGCCTTACAATTTTTGCATGTCAGTAAAATCATTCAAGAGTAAGACTAGTTTGCCTTTCAGCACATATGCACATCTGTGCTAAGTCTGTGTATGCCTATGCTCAGAGCATCTCTGCGGATGTCTATGTAGGTCTGCGCATGTCTGCATCTCTGCAGCTGTCCACATTGATCTGCGCATGTCTACATCTCTGCGGATGTCTACAGTGATCTGCGCATGTTTCTTCATGTCTACAGTGCGTAGGTCTACATTCGGCCGCGCATGTTTGCATCCCTGCAATGCGTAGGTCTACGTCTGTCTGCGCATGCCTGTTTGGGCCTATGACGTACCTCAACATGTGTATACACATGCCCATACCCACGGCACAGGCCAACATGTCTGCGCATGCTCATTGTCTAGGGCGCGCGTCAGCAAATATGCGCATGCCTGCGCGTATAGGACATATTTGCATGTCTACGCATGCCCGTTCCCGTGTCAGCAAGTCTGCGCATGCCTGTATCTACACATCAGTATGTCTGCGCATGTCCATTCCCATGGCACGCGTGTGCAAAAGTGCGCATGCCTGACATCAGCACCGTGTGGCGAATGTTTTCTACGGCTGTGCTTACAGGTTGTCTACGCTTCCATCCCTGCGCATGCCTACATTCGTCTGGGCACTGATGCGCGTTCCCGCTTTACCGGCTTACGTCCGGTTGCGCATCTCTAGGGCGTCAGGTAAGAGCTTGCGAATATTTTTAGGCAGCTAGGTAAAAGGGAGACCGTTTACTTTAACTTTTAACCTATTCAATTCCTAATCTCAGGCTTCCTGGCCTATCTTCAGTAACCTGTCAGTTCGGCCCAGAATTTATACCCTCAATAACTAAGTGCCAATTAAACTCAAGTATTCCCCTCTCCCCCGTAATTTCGCTCCGTCTGTTAACTTGTTCCGTTCTTCCTAGTCTCTTCAGGATGCTCAACTCAGTGTCTGTTCTCCTCAAACTCTTAACTCTGCTCCTTCAGCAGAGGAGTTGTTTTGTATGAGTAAACTGGAATATCTCCTATGACGAGACAAAAGCATATCTTTTTTTAATTCCCTCTTTATCATGTGTATTTTAAATTGTGCTGTGTCTCAAATATACGTATATGTAAATGCGCAGAAAATAACAGCACTGAACACGATTGCGTTTAACAAGAACATAACCTTTTGCCATATTTACTAGAGATATTTTATAAAAATGTAACACCCTTGTGACTTTCAAACCTTTTTCTCACGACAGCCACTTTCCTGATCAAATTTAACAATGCCCATGCATATATAATATATTTTTAGATTTTGTTATGGTTGCAAATATGCATAGCTTCCCATGTTTTTAAACATACATAGGGTGGAACTGCTCATATTCTGCAACTTGTTTTTTCACTCAACATTGCACTCATTTTGAACTATAAAATTCCATTGTATGAATATACTATAATTTATCCATTCCCCTTCTGATGAACATGTAAGCTGTTTTCATTTCTTCACTCTTAATAATGCTGTAGTGAAGACGTTTTTCTCCCTTGGGAACGCCAGTTTGGAAGGTGTGAGCTAGGGTGTGCACATCTTTACCTAAATTGCTCTCCATTGTGGCTGTACCAATCGACCCTTTGTCTAGCCAAGTATGAAAGTGTCCTTTGACTAACGTCCTCTCAAGTATTCAGTATGAAGCTTTTCAATGTTTGCCAGTCTGGTGAGTGTGAAAGAGAAACTCGTAGTTTTTTAATCTACTTGTTCTGTCAGGTTAAGTATTTCTTTGTAAATATTTATTGACTATCTGGGCCTATTATTGCTCAATTCATATAAACAGTGAGCTGACTCTAGCCCTTATTAATAGCACTATTAATAATTAACAACACCATTATTACATCACAGGCTAGAGAATCAGGAAGAAGAGACAATTTACTTCACCAGGCTACCTGGCTTCTTTCTGTATTGCTACTTTAATTCACTTCCTTTTGCAGTATCTGAAGAGCTCGTGTGTGCCTAGCATTGGACACTTGTGAGACAGAAGATCTCGGTTTATCTCACAGCTTCTTAGAACTCCCTTTTTCAAAATGAATGGCCTTCCGCTCAGTCATGGCTTTAGATAGACATCTCAGTTTTCACAGGAGACTAACCAAGTTGACAATCTGCTCATCAGATTGTGGTAGCACAGATTCACCTTCAGTTGGCATAGAAGGTGCGCAATCATGCACCAACCAGAGACAACAACTTAAGACACATGTTCAGTTCATTTCTTGTCAGAACCAGTTGTACTGATGGAAGACTGTCGAGTCCATCCATTCCTCTAGTCTAGATAGCCGGGATTTATCCGCAGCCTAAGGCATCTACAACGTTAACACAGCAGTATTCTCCCAGGCAGCTGGATTACTGGTGACTTTTAATTTCTTCATTTTAAACTTGCGTATTTTCCAAATACTCTAGCATGAGAATGTTCCTGTTTGGGGGAAAAAAAGCAAAATCTCACATTATTTTAAAATATTACATAATTGGAATATACTATCTCCGCCCACACACACACCTTTCCACATCCTAAGATAAGTGCTTTCACTGAAAAACAATTGATCACACTCTAAGTTTCCAAGACAAAGAAGTACAAAAACCCCATAGAAGTTCTAATACTGCAAAGTGCATTTTCAGAGAACAGTCTGCCTCAAACAGGAATGCTGCTGAGATTACTCTCTAGCTCATCTTTCAATTAATGTTAATTGTTAGCTATGTAAGAAATCTCTTCTAGAACTAAACAGGAAAACGTTTGCACCTTAAGAATTCCCCCCCACTTCATGGGCAATGAGAATATGTAATGTCGAGTTTCCACTTTTGTTCTGGATGACAAGAAAGTCAAAAGCAAATATGAGCTACAGTTTAAATCGCTCATGCAAGGTCTTATGCTGAAGCAGCATTTCAGTGATGAGTCCCTGGCTCTAACTTGTTTGTTGTTTATTTTCGGGTGTTTTTTTTTAAATACTATTTTACCGTGTAGATAAATATATGAATTTTTTCATAAACACCTCCTCATAGTAAAGTAAGATATAACTAAATATAATGATCTACAGTATCCAATGTAAGTTCGTTTAATTTATGTTCTGAAATTTCAAAACTATGAGGCAATAAAAATTATGATGCAGTATCAGCTATCTTACTCAACTCATTAACCTCATTTCAAAGTCCATGTAAGGACTAAGATTATAGCTTCACTCCTATAGTGATACCATTAAATTGGCTTTCTTTCACTTACGAAAGATGTTTAATTAAATTTGAGATGCACCTATAGTAAGAAATACTTTTTTCACACTGAGAGAGGTTAATAATTACTTAACAAAAGGAGTCGTTATAAGTGTTAAAAGCACAGGCTTGTGCATCATCAGATAAGATGTGTGTTCAAATCTTGGCATCACTACTTAACTGCTGTATGAGCAGAGTGACATCATCCTACCTATCAAGAGTGGGTTGAAAAATATTAGCTATAAAGAATTATATCTGGTGTGCACTCAATCAGAAAAAGTTTGATATTATAAAACCTCTTTTAACCATTTCTACAAAAGAACTATACAATTGCATGTGCATGCAAAACAAAAATGTTCCCTCAAAGTGGACATTACCATAAATAATTCAGTGATAGTATCTCAGGTTTGAAACTTACCTAAATTGTCCAGTACGAAGAAAACAAAGAGCTCGGTTTCCATAAAGAATGTGGTTCTCAGGTCTTTAAAAGAAATGATGTGTAATCAGGAAAAGAGCACAAGTGAAACAAAAGCCACATAGAAAACATAAGGTCTGAACAAAAATATTTCAAGATCTTTACCTATGTGTGACAGAGCAGAATGAATACAAAATTTAGATTCTTAGACTAAACCCTCGTTTCTTCACTTCCTGAGTAACTGCTCCAATCAACTAAACTTCCCGGGGCTCAAACTGAAGAACCATGTAACTCTCGCAGCCAGACCGAATGAGAGACATCTTCTGAAGCATATGTAACTGTAGAGGACTGTGCTAATAGCCAAGATAGGACTATTATCACCTTAATGATACAGACAACGGAAGACTATAAATGGCAACAGCAATTTAAATAGTTACAGTTCAAATTGTATCCTTTCTACGGGTATCTGACAATGTGCTATGCAACTGAATTTCCCTTTCTCCTATCCCCCACCCCCACCCCCACCCCAGAACTTAGGAGCACCTTTTCAGACTTGGCATGCTCCATCATGACCCACCCATTCCCTCTGGAGCAGGAAGGGCATGGCAGCAAAGAGAAAAGCTGCCTGCAGAACACCCTAATGGCGGCCACCAGATTAGCGGCCCAGCTGAGGCTGTCCATGGAGGAGGCCGAGGCATACCAGGATGCATGCTATGGACGTCTAGCAATAGAGCAAACAGACGGTAAGGCAGAAAGGATTATTTACCCATTAGCTTTAAAATTTTCTCTTGCACCCCCCACCCCCACCCCTCAGCCAGGAGGATGAACAACAGAAACTGTGGAGGAAGGGAGACAGTGGTTGGTGTAAGATATGAAAATAATAGTAATTTATCAAGGAGTCATGAGGAGGGAAAAGAGGAGCTGATACTAAGGGCCCAAACAGAAAGTAAATGTTTAGGAAATAAGACAACATATGTACAAATATGCTTGATTCAGTTAATGTATGGATGGTTATAAGAGCTGTAAGAGCCACCAATAAAATCTTTTAATAATAATAATTTAAAAATTCCCTCTTAAAAAGCAAAGATCGCCCAATTGGTGGCATCTTAAGTGTTAGTAACTTAACTCTTTTGGGTAAGTTAATAATTGGGATCTAATGATGAGAACAAGACAATAAATGACCTTGGATTAGACACGATGAAAAATTACAATGGGACAGGGAAGAATCAAATTGACAATTTTGCCTGATTTCTTTGAGTTCCACTGTTTGAGTTAATACACTTAGGCCACTTGTAATATTTCTTTTTATTTATTTATTTATTTTTGTTTGTTTGTTTGTTTGTTTTGTAATACTTCTTAATGACTAAAGACAAGAAAGTTTGTTTGTTTGTTTGTTTGTTTTGTAATACTTCTTAATGACTAAAGACAAGAAAATCTGTTTTACCAAGCAAGTTACAGATATTCTCAAACTTTCCATCTTTTATTTCTCCTGGCAAGCATTCTAACTTGACCAGCCACATAAAATGATTATCATTGTCTTATTTGGCTCTTACCTATACTCAATAGCTCGGGTGTAATAGATAATAGCAAGATCAAATCTTTTGTTGTGAAATTCTTCATTTCCTTTTATTTTCATTATGTCTCCTCGCTGAAAACCAAAATGAAAGACTTATCAGCAATTCTGAAAAAATACTTAAGAACCCCAACACAGGAAAAATGGTTTCTTTCTGTCTTTGATATGTAAAAGGTAAAAATACTGCTTTGGCATACATATTTAAAGAAGCTCTAATAATTCAGTTAAAGGAATAGTAAAAAGGAAATAACCATCCCATTAATAATTACAAGCAATTTACATTCTTGTGCACAATATTTGGGGTAGAGGTCTTAGTCATATTTATCTTAAGTCCACCACATGGTGGGGAAAAAAATTCTACTGGAGGTAGAATTTTTAGTTTAGCAAGTATGAGATAGTCAATAAGCCTGAGTGCTTAAAAAAAACAGAAGAATCACAACATAAAAGCAATGTCATTTGCTTTAACTGCAAAAAATATTAAGCACTGAATTATTAATATATGTAAACTCAGAGTTGGTACAGATATAACCGAATTATTTCACTTCAAAACACTCACTTTTTGTTTTTTAATTTCTAAAATAAACTATCTAAATTGTAACTGTGACATTCAATAGAACATTGTTTTCCTAAAAACCTTTTAAAATTATAGCATTAAAGAAATATTTCTTATGAAGCAATCCCATGACATGTATTAGATTTCAATAAAGCTATTATAAAATATGTATATTTCATCAATTAAAAATATTTAATACCAATTTTTAATTAACCATTAAATCTGTAAGCACAGAAAATCCTAACCTTGATTTTTCTTCTTCCAAAAATAAAGACATATTCCAAATGAAATCCTTTTACATTTTTTTCCTTAAACATTCAATTTTACAGCGGTTCTTTGTATGTTGTTAACAGTTTTGTTAGTAACTCCTCTGAGAACTCAAAGTTCTAACAGGTAAATATTAAAATATCCTTATGAATAAATATTCTCACCTCTGAACATTCTTCACAATCCGAGGTTTTAAATTCCTCAAGCAAATTGTACTCTTCTGTTACAAATTTAGTTATATGATACTTGTCTAAATTTTATTTTTAGGAGAGAAAGAAAATAGTTGTTTAAAAAAAAGAAAAACAACAAAGCTCACCAAATTGGTATTGGAAATGTTCTCATTTTTTCAGATAAGTATGTGACTAAAAGTACATGAGATTCATAATTATTGCACTTCTTGAAGAACGTTAATTAGTCCTGGCAGAGCATGGGTAAGTGCTTGCCTACTAACCAAAAGGTCAGCAGGTGGAACACAGTTGTGCTTAGCGGAGGACAGACCTGGCCGTCTGCTCAAGTGAGAATCACAGCCTAGGAAACCTTTCCTGTGGAGCATCCGGAGCCTGTGCTATAGAGTTGCTAAGAGTTGGCATCAACTCAACAGCTCACAACACCAAAGAACTTATGTTCTTGCAATATTCTGCATATAATCAATAATATACTAGGATAATTTAAAAACTGGTCAAATGTGTTAGAAAGTATTAATTTCAATGCTTGCAGTGGGGGCCTAACCTTAATAGTCTTTACTTTTAGCATTAAAAAAAAACTTTTTTATTATTACATTAGTTGTAGTTGTAGCTACAACAAATGCTGTTAGAACATGTAGGGCTCATAACTACTCAAATCAATCCTGTAATTATTATTGAACACGTATGGTAAAACTGGGCATTACATTCAATGAAAATGCTTTTTGTTTTTTAAAAAAGCCTGCAAAGCTACTTTGTAAAATTTATGTTTAATACAACACTAATCAGAAGTTACAGTGTCTAATCGAAAACTAACAGTTTGACTTGGGAGTGAAGTACTAAAACGAGAAGTTGAAGTACTTTTTGTATTGTAAAATTTCAATAAACTAATTAAAAGGCAATGGTGTTGTTGTCTTTAGGTGCTAACAAGTAGGTTCCAACTCATAGCAACCATAGGGACAGCTGAACAAAGCATGCCAGTTCCTGTGTCGTCCTCACAATTGTTATCTTGGAGCCCATTATTGCAGCCACCGTTGGCAATCTCTCATTGAGAGTCTTCCTGTTTCACTGATTCTCCACTTTACCAAACATAACATCCTTTATCCTTTTCCAAGTACCGGTCTCTCCTGATATAACTTGTCCAAAGGACAAGAGACAAAATCTGAGTGGCATTCTGGCTGTACTTCTTCCAAGACAAATTTGTTTGTTCTTTGGGCAGTCCGTGACAATGTCAATATTCCTTGCCAGCACCATCATTCAAATGTATCAGGTCATCTGCAGTTTCCCTTCTTTATTGTCCAATTTTCACATACATATGAGATAATTGAAAATACCATGGCTTGGGTCAGGGGCATCTTGGTCCTCAGTGATATTGTTGCTCTTTGACACCTTAAAAAGATCTTATGCAACAGTTTTGCCCAGTGCAATCCATCCTTTCATTTCTTGATGACTACTTCCATGAGAATTTTGGATCCAAGTAAAATGAAACCTTTAACAAAGTCAGTCTATTCTGCCTATCGTGTTGTCTATCGGTCCAGTTGCAAGGATTTTGGTTGTCTTAACATTGAGTTGCACTCCACCATGAAGGACTGTAGTTCTTCATCTTCGTCAAGCACTTCAAGTCTTCACTTTCAGCAAGGTAGGTTGGGTCATCTGCATATTTCAGGTTGTTAATGATCTTTCTTCCAATCCTGATGCTCTTCCCAACCCTCTGCATTCTTCTTTATGTGATCCGGTTTTCAGATTACTTGGTCAGCATACAGAGAGTAAAAAGGGTGAAAGGCTACACCATGATGTATCCTTTCCTGATTTCAAACCACTCAGCATTTCCTTGTTCTATTTGAATGACTACCTCTTAATCCATGAACACAAAGGTTCCACATGAGCACAACGAAGTGTTCTGGCAATCCCATTCGTCTTTCTCAAAGTTATCCACAAAATGACCCACACAGCTGAAAGCCTTTATACAGTCAATAAACACAAGTAAACATCTTCAAGCATTCCTTGCTTTGAGCCAAGATCTCATCTTCGGGATCTGGCTTGAATTTCTGGCAGCTCCCTGTTGATGTACTACTGCAAATGATGAATGATCTTCAGCAAAATTTTACTGGCATGTGATATTAATAATATTGTTTGATAGTTTTCACTCTGTTGGATTACCTTTCTTTGTAATGAGCACTAATAATGAATATCTTCCAATTGGTTATCCAGGTCTTCCATATTTCCTGGCATAGACAAGGGAGCGCTTCTAGTGCTTCTTCAGCTTATTGAAACATTTCACAATTAGTATTCCATCTGTTATTGATCCTTGTTTTTTATCAATGTTTTCAGTGCAGCTTGGCCTTCTATTTTTCAGTTCATGGTCTTTCAACCAGTTCTTTTTGGTATAATGACTCTGAATTCCTTCCATCTTCTTTTGATGCTTCCTGCATCATTCAGTATTTTGCCCATAGAATCCTTCAATATTCCAAACTCAGGACTTGCATTTCTTCTTCAGTTCTATCAGCTTGAAGCATGCTGAGTGTGTTTCTCCCTTTTGATTTTCTAACTCCAGGTCTTTGCACATTTCATTTTAATGCTTTACTTTGCCTTTTGAACTGCCTTTTGAAACTTCCTTTTCAGCTCCTTTACTTCCATTTCTTCCATTTGCTTTAGCTACTCCAAATTCAAGAGCAAATTTCTAAAGTCCCTTTTGACATCCCATTGGATCTTTTTAATGACTTTTAGCTTTCATGTATGATGTTCTTGATGTCATCCCACAGCTCAGGTCTTCTGTCAGTACTGTTCAATGTGTCAAATCTGCTCTTGAGACATTCTGTAAATTCAGGTAGGATCTACTCACGGTCACAGTTTGGCAATTGGGAAAATGTTTTCATTTTCGTCAACATGAACCTGAACTTACATGAGTAATTGATGGTATTAAACAGTTATTCCCCAGCATCATTTTGGCTGCTGATAGAATTTTTCCATTATCTGTTCCCACCAAACCAAAACCAAACTCACTGCCATCAAACTGATGCCAACTCATAGCAACCCTATAGGAAAGAGTAGAACTGCCCTGTGAGTTTCTGAGACTAACCACTTTCAAGAAGAGAAAGCCTAGTCTTTCTCTGAAGTAGCTGGCTGATGGTTTCAAACTGCTGACCTTGCAGATCACAGCCCAATGCATAAGTACTGTACAGCCAGGGCTCATATGTCCTTTCCCACAGAGGTAGTCAATTTGATTTCTGTGTATTCCATCTGGTAAGGTCCGTGTGTATAGTCTCCACTTATAGGTTGTTGAAAAAAGGTATTTGCAATGAGGAAGTCGTTGGCCTGCAAAAGTCTCATGCAATCTGCAGCTTCAACTCTACCAAGTCCGTATTTTCGCATTAGTATTTATCCTTTGTGTCCAACTTCTGCATTTCAATGACTAATCATTGATTAATATTGATTAATTAATAAATAAAATTCTGATTAATGCATCTTGAATGCATGTTTGACCTATTTCTTATTGAAGAAGCTGATTGGATTCTTCAATTTCTTCATCATTAGCTTCAGTGGTTGGTATACAAATTTGAATAATAGTTGTAGTAACCAGCTTTCCTTGTATGTGTATTTGTACAGAGCGCCCATCACAGACAGCACTGTACTTCAAGATCTTGAAATGTTTATTTTGACGATGCAACACCATTCCTCATGAATCTGTCATTCTTGGCATAGTTAGTCACAAAATGGCCAATATAAATCCATTTCAGCTCACTAATGCCTAGGATACCGATCTTTATATGTTCCATTTCATTTCTGACAACTTCTAGTTATCCTAGATTCATACTCTGCACAGTCTGTGCTCCGATTAATGAGTTTGTAGCTGTTTCTTCTCATTTTGAGTCATGCAGATTGCGGTCCTGATGGCTTTACTCATCTTGGTCACTCTGGTCAACCGCTTTCCAACCCAAGGGACTCATCTTCTGGCTGTTTCTGACAATCTTCTTATATTTATAAGGATTTCAGTGGCTAATTCCTCAGAAATAGACAGCCTATTCCTTCTTCATAGTCTGTTCTTATTATGACCACTTTGCTGAAACTGGTTGACCAAGGGAGACCCTGCTGGTATTTGAAACACCAGTGAGATAGCTTCCAGCATCACAGCAAGACACAGACTGACCACTGTACAACAAACTAACAGACAAGAGATGGGATTAAATACAGTAGGTAAAAGCAAATGTGAAGTTTGCCATCAGTGAACAACCCTAAAGGACAGAGTATGCGATCCCTAAGGTCAGCAGTTCAAAACCACCAGCTGCTCCGGAAAAATATGGAGCTTTCTATTCCTGTTAACAGTTTATATAAACTATAAAGGACAGAGTAGAACTACTTTGGTTCTGAGACTGTTAATCTTATCTTTCTTCCTCCAAACAGGTGTTAGGTTTAAACCTGACTTTGTGATTAGCAGTTAAAGGTTAACCCATCGCACTACCAGGGCTTCATAAGCTATTCTATAGAGTTTTTAAAATGGTAAATGAAAAATATATATATTGCAAGAAAAATACAGCCAAGTCTTTAGCCAAATACATTAAGGCAAAAGGAGTATCTAAATTTAAGATTCAAACAAGATTTGAAAAGATCACACAATAAAGTACTACTAGGTGATGGAGTGATTCTGGGACTGCACTTTGATATCAGAAACCATCCCGTTCAGGCTCTACTACTTACTAGACTGCAGAACCAGAGGCTTAGTTCATTCATTTCTAAAACAGTAACAGCTACGATGCAGGGCTATGCAATAAAAGGAGCCCAACACATGCTATTACTTTTCTTTCTACAGTAAAATCTAGTGAATGGTTAAGGGCATCCAGAACAACAACAAAACCCCTCTAGCACCATAATACTATAGTAAATACATCCATCAGAAAAAGCGGTCTTCATACTTAAGCTTAATTTCTCCTATGCCAACAGTACAAAATTTGCTCTTTCCAGTAAAGATGATATATCAATAACTGGCCATCATTTGTCAAAGAACCAAACATTTCCTATCTCAAGATTTCTATTAGTATATTAGAAAAGCATTGCTAATATAGTAGTTTCATCATAAAAGTAACAGATTCATCAAGAAATAATTACATTAGTATCTTAGCATCTATTAACACTCTTTTTGCTTATGAATGAAAGTATACAATATAAGCCCCAGGGCCCTGCTGGTGTAATGGCTACGTGTTGTGCTGAAATCCTCAGTCACAATCCTCAGTTCAAAACCAGCAGCTACTCCGCAGGTGAAAGATAGGACTTCCTACTCTCCAATCTCAGAAACTCATAGGGGCAGTTCTACCATGTTCTATAGCGTCACTGTAAGTCTGCATCAACTTAACGGCAGTGAATTGAGTTGTGATATCTTCCTTTACAATAGACTATGATTATCAAATTGAGAGAATTTTTAAGAAATGTATTATGTCCTACAAAGTTTTGGAAAGGAAATGTAAAGTTAGAGTAAAATTAAAGTTCTCATATTCATTACAGGCATACATTAAAAAAGTAACCCTTTTTTAAAAATCCTAAAACAAATAAGCACTTATTTAGACATTTCCTTTTCTAAAATAATGCCTTAAAATTGAATAAAATAACCATTTAAAGCATTCATACTTACATTCAGTAAAGAAAATACTTAACATAGGCCAACACTTTTCAAGTGATCCTAATTTAGGCAGAAGCGTTATGTCACCTACAAATTTTACCCAATTCAATGCTTCTTCGGTTACCGTCATTTTCTGTATTAGAAATAGAGATAAACAATGGGATTTCAGTATTATTTTAAATTTGTCATGCAACATCAGCAACTTGTTTTATATAGTAATTCAGATTCATAATGCAAAACTAGTATGAACAGCACATTATCAATATTCCAGTATGGAATCTATATAACAGATACCATAGACATACACAGATTATAACTTCAGGTGACCTGAGGTCACCTTCAGAGTGCAAGACGCTTCTGCACTGATTCCAGACCTGAAATTCAGGTCAACAGACTAACCAGTGACAGCCCTGGGAAGTAGGAGAGTAAACAGTACAAGATGAATGAGAGAGGTCTCACTCCTAAACTGGACGATGACCTCCATCCTTAAAACTAACCCACTAGTACAGATAAGGTTCACCAAAAGGAATATGTATTTTACATGGTGTGTGACATATAAAGATGAAGACAAAGACACAGCTGGGTAAATGGATCCTCTGTGCAATAACCTTCAAGAAATATCGGGAGATCACAGACTTACTGATACTGAAAATGCCTGAAATAATTTCTGAAATCAAATAACTGAGTTACTAATGTTGCTGTCAGGATCAAGATAAACAACGTTTTATGTCACCAGCACCATGGAACACTGTGTTTTCATTCATTATATCTAAAGATTAAATAGTAAGTATGTACTAAAAATATTCACACCAGAGACCTAAAAATTTCATTTGGGGGTATTCAAAATGAGGGGGGAAATTAAGTTGTGCAGAGATTCTCAAAATTACATGATGTGTATGCATGAAAAAATGAAATGTACTTCAAGGCCGAGAAATGAGGAGCTTGCTTAAGCAAGATACAGAAATCAACACTGTCAAAGTATAAAGAATGTGGACTCAGTCCATGGAACAATGAGCAGTGAACTAAGTGCCAATCACTCAGAGTAGCTGTGCAGGGTATCTCACATTTAACACTTACATTTTCTATTTTGTAACCAATTCTCAGTAAGCTTCCAATGAAGAAAGAACTGTTCTGCAAAACAAAGAAAGAGCAAGATGAAAAAAAAGCAAGAAGTTTTCCTTATTCAATCAATTATTCTTGAATTTTCTAGTGGAAAAAAAATTCGGTTTCCTACAATTACTTTCATACCCATTTACCTTTAAAATCCTAAAACATCCTAGTTGTATGAGCCCCCAATAAAATGATTTTGTTTTAAAAAAGGAAGACACGACAACAAAAAATCAAAATCAAGAAAAAAGAATAAAACTGCAAAACAAGAATTTTTTAAAATCACTTTGTTGGGGTTTGTACAGCTCTTATCACACTCCATACATACCTCCAGTGTGTCAGGCACATTTGTACATTTATTGCCATTGTCATTCTCAAAACATTTTCTTTCTCTTGAGCCCTTGGTATCAGCTCATTTTCCACCCTCCCTCCTCCCAAGCACTTGATAATTTATAAATTATTATTTTGTCATGTCTTACACTGTCCAATGTCTCCCTTCACCTACTTTTCTGTTGTCTATTCCCCACGGAGGGGGCTATATGTAGATCATTGTGATCGGTTCCCCCTTCCTCCCCCACCTTACCCTTACCTTCCTGGTATTGCTACTCTCATTATTGGTCCTGAGGGGTTTATCTGTCCTGAATTCCATGTGTTTCCAGCTCTTATCTGTACCAGTGTACATCCTCTGGTCTAGCCAGATTTTTAAGGTAGAACTGGGATCCTGATAGTGTTGGGGAGGAAGCATTAAAGAACTAGAGGGAAGTTGTGTTTCATCGGTGCTATACTGCACCCTGACTAGTTCGTCTCCTCCCCCAGACCCCTCTGTAAGGGGATGTCCAGTTGCCTACAGATGGGCTTTAGGTCTCCACTCTGCACTCCCCCTCATTCACAGTGATATGATTTTTTGTTCTTTGATGCCTGACACTTTGATCCTGTCGACACCTCATGATCACACAGGCTGGTGTGCTTCTTCCATGTGAGCTTTGCTGCTTATCAGTTAGATGGTCGTTGTTTACCTTCAAGCCTATAAGACCCCAGACGCTATATCTTTTGATAGCCAGACACCATCAGCTTACTTCACCACATTTGCTTATGTCTTCATGCTTTGTCTTTATGGATCATGGCGGGAAGGTGAGCATCATGGAATGCCAGTTTAATAGAACAAAGTGTTCTTGCATGGAGGGCGTACTTGAGTAAAGCCCCAATGTCAATCTGCTATCTTAATACTAAAACTTATAAATATATGCACATAGATGTATTTCCCTATTGTCATGTAAAAATATTTTTTCATTTGTACCTGCCTGTATTTAGACCTCTATAAATGCCCTTTGTCTCCTAGGTCTTTCCTCTATTTCCTTTTACTTTCCTCTTGTCCCACTCTCATGTTCAGCCTTCATTTGGGTTTCAGTAATTCCTCTCGGTTACATTGCCATTGATCAAGCCCTATCAGGCCTCCTACATCCTCCTCGCCATAGATTTTTCACCTAATTTTTTAAAGTTTACTACACCCAGATTTTTAACAAAGATACACTGGCTTTAAGTGACTACACAGAATTGTCAGCAGGAAATAAGCATCAGAATGTCTTCTCTAAATTCAAGTCTGCAACCAAAAAAGTATCAAGAAAAACAGGTGGCTCCATAAACACACCTGAAACAATAAAAATTATCCAATGGCTTTCAAGAAAAACAAAACCTTCTACTCAAAGCTGTCTTAAAACAAACAAAATGAAGTTTACCCCAAATATAAGACAGTTGTTGGTAGCGTGATGATCATAGTATATTTTTATGACAGTAAAGAGAGCCCATCTTTTTCAGGACCTGTCTCAAGATTTCTATGAGCCAGGATCTAATTTGATCATGTAACAAGCTGTGATATATTCCACAATCCAGGCACTTAACAGGCCATGCCCCAACTACATTAACAGTCAATTATTTGATCTGGCAAACACTGAGGACAAACGAGTTGCAGTCAGAATAAAGCAGTGGCTGTCGAATCAGACTCAGGCTGACCATATGTTTATCAGAGTAAAACTGTAAATTTTCAATAGATGAATTTTCAGAAGTAGATCTCCATGTCATTCTTCTGAGGTACCTCTTGCTGCGTTCAAGCTGCCGATCTTTTGGTTAGCAGTAATGTTAACCAACTGTAGCACCAACTGTAGCTTTACTTAAAAGTACAGCTAAGAGAACAGTATGCATATGCTCCACCTTACCTACAAATTCAGCTTAAAGACCTAGATAAGAATGATTCTTGTTCATAACCTGGGAACTACCTATAACTGCTACCTGCTACAAATTAGCAGAATGAAAATACTTAAAACAGAAAATTTTAAAAACTCACATACTGTAACTTACCGCAACTTTCTTTGTCAACTCCACAATCTCTTCCAGCAATTCAATGTACTGTAATCTCTCCAAACTTAACTCCCAAGCACGAGAATTACTTAAAGACACATTTATTTTTTAAAAGATTAGGATCTCATATCTGAAGTTTGATTGAAATTCATATTTAAGATTTAGATATCCCTAAATATGTTTCATTTCAGTATGAAATACTAGAGGGGAATTAAGTTCTGTTTCTTCACTGTAAGTAGCAATAATTATTAACTAAACAAAATATTATACCTTTTTCTCTTATGCATACAAACATTGATATTTTTTCATCGTTTTATTAAGGACTCCTACAACTCTTATCACAATCCATACATTCATCAATTGTATAAAGCACATTTGTACATTCATTGCCCTCATCATTCTCAAAACATCTGCTATCCACTTATGACCCCAGCATTAGGTCCTTATTTTATTCCCTCTCTCCCCACTCCCCCCTCCCTCATGAGCCCTTGATAATTTATAAATTATTATTTTGTCATATCTTGCCCTGTCCGACGTCTTCCTTCACCCACTTTTCTGTTGTCCATCCCCCAGGGAGGAGGTCACATGTAGATCCTTGTAATCGGTTCCCCCTTTCCAACCCACTCTCCCTCTACGCTCCCAGTATCACCACTCACACCACTGGTCCTGTAGGGATCATCCGCCCTGGATTCCCTGTGTTTCCAATTCCTACCTGTACCAGTGTACACCCTCTGTTCTAGCCAGACTTGCAAGGTAAAATTCGGATCATGATAGTGGAGGGGGGGAGGAAGCATTTAAAAACTAGAGGAAAGTTGTATTTTTCATCATTGCTACATCGCACCGACTGGCTCGTCTCCTTTCCGAGACCCCTCTGCAAGGGGATCTCCAGTGGTCTATAAATGGGCTTTGGGTCTCCACTCCGCACTCCCCCCTCATTCATTATGGTTAAGATTTTTTGTTCTGATGATGCCTTATACCTGATCCCTTCGACACTTGTGACCGCACAGGCTTGTGTGCTTCTTGCATGTGGGTTTTATTACTTCTGAGCTAGATGGCCACATGTTTACCTCAAACATTGATATTTATAAAAGCCAAACTCACTGCCATCAAGTCAATTCTGACTCATAATGAACCTATAGGTAGGGTAGAAATGCTTGTGTGGGTTTCTGAGACTGTAACTCTTAACAGGAATAGAGGGACACATCTCTCTTCCATGAAGTAGCTGGCAGTTTCAAACAGCTGACCTTGCAATTAGCAGCCTAACAGTGGGTTAACTGTACCCCCAGTACTTCTGTATTTTGATATGTATAGATATTTACATATTAATTTACCTATTAATTTTTCCTGATTCAGCTTCAAGTCTACAATCTAGTGCTATTCAGAATTTCATTCATTATGCTATAATGATCATTCATATTCAAATTCCAAGTATTCACTTTTTCTACTTTAATCTATTAAATGAGACAGGTTGAACAGTGTGCCTGAATGAGAAATAAGGCCTTCCATTGTACTATGCATTCCTCAGTACTAGGCAACATGTTTCTCACAGTTCATACAAAATGAGTAACACAGTAACTTACTTGGCCTCCACACAAGGATGTAGTCGTGCAAATGGGCACCCATTCTGACGTTGAAACAGAAGCGGCCAGAAGACATAGACTTTAATAGCATCACAGTACTCTCTCAGGACAGTAACTGGTTTATGGCACCATATACGGCAAATGTCAAATTCTTCAATTAAAAAAAACAGGTTAAATTAATACTTCTTCCTCATCTTGAAATGACTCAAGACTGCCAATAGGTAAAAGGCAAAACTGGCTATGGAAAAGCAAAATATCCAAACTATCAGCTGAATTGTCAGCAGGAAATAAGCATCAGTGTGTCTTCTCTAAATTCAAGTCTGCAAGGAAAATATTACCAAGTGAAAATATCTTTACCTATTAAATCAATTTAAAGTGTTGGCTATATTTCCATTTTAATAAAGAATTGCTATGGTTTTTTAATGGGAAAAGAAAAATAACAAATTTTGTAAAGTCTTGTTATGTTGAAGTGAATGTATAAATTTCCTGTTAGTCTTTCAAGCATGTAGCATTAAAATTTCGATATACTCACCTATGTTTTTCTCTTTTTGAATATGCTCTTTACAATGTTTATCCTAAAAAAGAAGAAAAACATGCTTATTTGTAAGCAAAAGCAAAATTCTTGAGTTTTATTCACAAGACTATCCAAAATTAAACACATCAGTGCCTATATGCATATACACTTTGAACACATCAACCAATGTCTTTAATAGTTCTCCTCTCCCCCGAAAGCTTTTGGTACATGGATTTTTATAGGGATTATACAATATAAACCCTGAACCAAAAGCATCCTTACTCATATTTGTCTAAACCATAAAGCCTTCAAAGAGATACTAGTAAAAATTTTTAAATCAGAAAACTTACTTACCTCTGTATTGGTGTGAATGTGTGTCAAATTAATATAATTAGGAGGCACAGACTCAGGAGTAGATTCCAAATCCTCCATATAAGTACAATCATTTATGACATAATTGTCTACAGTGAGATCATCCAGAGTAAAATCATCCATTTTGCATAATCCTAAGTAAACAACAGAAACCCAAGTCAGCATTAAACCCTTTGAGACTACACAAGAAGTAGTTTTCCTAGCCTTTGTAAATTATGGTATTTTAGAAAAACAATGGATACTTCCAATCCAAGGAAAAAACTCCAATCCAAACACTGTAGATTCTAGTGCCCATTTTGCTGTTCCTGGTCCCCTACATCTTCCAAGTATCTATTTAATCTTTTCCTTTCTTTACTTCACACATCTAGCATTTCTATACTGGGTTTCTCCATTTAAATGTTCCCTTTAGACTACAAATAATTAAGGCTATTTTATTCATCTGTAAGGAACCCTTGTGACACAGTGAATTATGAGTTGGGCTGCTAATCTCAAGGTCAGCAGTTTGAAACTACTTTGCAGAAAAAAAGATGAGGCTTTCTACTCCTGTAAAAATTTATCCTGGAGGGTGAAGGGAATGTGTAACTTATGACAAAACTATAATAATTTATGAATTATGAAGGGTTCAGGAGGGGGGGGGAAGAGGGGGAAAATGAGTAAACGATATTGAGGGCCAAAGTAGAGGGCAAATGTTTTGAGATTGATGAGGGCAACAGGTATACATATGTGCTTGACTCAATGGATGGATGTATGGACTGTGATAAGAATTGTACGAGCCCTCAATAAAATAATTTTTTAAAAAAAGAACAATGAGGGTAACAAATGTACAAATGTGCTTTATACAATTGATGTATGTATGGATTGTGATGAGTTGTATGAGCCCCCAATAAAATGACTTAAAAAAAAATTATCTGGAAACCCACAGGGTCAGTTCTACTTTGTCCTGCAGGGTTACTGTGAGTTGGAATCGACTTGATGGCAGTGAGTTTGAGTTTGTTAGTTATGTATTAAACACAGCGCCTAGGCACATGATGGTGGTTATTTGGTGTCATTGAACTGCCCTAGAAGGTTAAAAAAAAAAAACGCAAACTGAAACTCACTGCCATAGAGTCAATTACGACTCATCGAGTCCCTATCGGACAGGTTAGAACTCCCTGTGGTTTCCAACCCTGTATCTCTCTACGGGAGTAGAAAGCCTCACCTTTCTCCCTCGGAGTACCTAGTGGTTTTCTTTGCTGACTGTGATAGTAGCCCAACTCATAGCCCATTGTGCCACCAGGGTTTCTTGCCCTATAAGGTAGTGTGTTCAAATGTTTGCTGCAATAAAATAAAAAAGACAGTTTTCTACTGCTGCCCTCTTCTTTCATCTATTTTACTGCATTCTGTGAAATATGACATTCCACTAGGTCACAAAATCTGTTACCTTCTCCGTCTTGTGGCCTGATGACACCCAAGTCCCATGAGAAAGGTATTTGCTAGCAGCTGCTCACATCTCCCTATCTGCCTTCCAGTGTCTTTGTCTTAAGCAAGAGGCAGAGCTGAGATGCCATAGGTGAGTTTGTCAAACTTAACTGTCCCAGTCAAGTCTCCCTAACAATCTCACAACTACTACAGTTCACAGTCAGTTCTATTGGACTGCAAAGGGAGAGTTTTAAATATATATATTCAATGGAAGGAAAGGGGTTAGAAAACTTCGGATTGAAGTTTGCCCTGAGGGAATTTCAATAATAAAAGATTTCTGTAACTGTTCAAGCATAGCTACAAAATCTAAATAAAACTGAAACAATTGGTGTGTTATTACTTCTACCTCCTGCTCAGTTGATGGTTTTCTTTCCAATCATCCTCAGAACCATCAATACCATTTTTTAAAATCTTCTCTCTTTATCATTCCATTATTGTCCCAGAAAAAATAAACTCACTGCCATCAATACTGATTCACAGTGGACATCTGTGGGTTTCTGAGACTGTAACTCTTTTTTTTTTTTAACATTTTATTAGGGGCTCATACAACTGTTATCCCAATCCATACACACATCAATTGTGTAAAGCGCATTTGTACATCGTTTCTCAAAACATTTTCTCTCCATTTAAACCCCCAACATTGGGTCCTAATTTTTCCCCTCCCTCCCCGCTCCCCCCTCCCGCATGAACCCTTGATAGTTTATAAATGAAGACTGTAACTCTTTATGAGAGTAGAAAGCTCAGTCTCTCCTAAGGAGCTGCGGGTAGTTTAAAACTGCCAACCATGCAGATTGCAGCCCAATGCATAGCCACTACACCACCAGGACTCCCCCATATTGCTAAGGGGGATTTTTTACCCCTCAAGATCATCTCCATCAAACCCTGAAATGTAAGTTTCCTTCATTCTTATTTAGCCAAATTTGTTGTATAAAAACATTGCAGCATTAGAAGTAAAGAACAATTAATCCCCCAATGAAATGATTTTAAGAGCAATTAATAACCTTCCCAGGAGACTAAAGAGCACTTGTAGCACTATATGGTAAGCACTAAACTGTAACTGAAAGATCAGAGGTTCAAACCCACCAGCTGCTCTGCTAGAGGAATTTAAGGTTACCTCTGCCTGTAAAGAGCGGCCTGAGAAACCCTACAGTTCTACCCTGTCCTTCAGGGTCCTGTGTGTCAGAGTCAACTTGATGGCGGTGGATTTGGTTATTTGGCTTGTTTGTTTGTTTAGCAAACTCTGTACTGTTGTCACATATTGTAGTAAGTGCTTTATAGACATCAAATATCTCATTAATCCTCACAGCAATTCTTGGCAATCAACAATCATTGCCTCCACTGTACAGGGTGTTTTTTTTACTAACAAGTAATTTACTCAAGGTTGCTAAGTTAGGAAGGATTCAAACTCAGGTCTTCTGATTCCAGTCTACTAAACACTGTATTTCACGACCTTTCCTTGTGCTGGTTAGATTTTATGTCATCTAGATATACCTCATGAGGGTATGGGTGGCATTCCAACTCTCAATCGTATATCTCCTGAGGGGTATGGCCTTTTTATAAGAGAAGCAGAGGGAAGTGGGCAACTTTTCTCTCTTTGCTCTCTTCACCTTCCTGCTTACTTAGATGATGTGACTGGCTCTGAGGCTGGCAGCTCATGTGGCCTGCCGTCCCTGGGAATAGTCAGTGCCCAACCAAAATCGTACCAAACTTGGATCCACAGGAGTGTGCACCCACCAGCCTGTGATCTCCCCGCTTCTTCAGCTGGCAGCTGTTTGAATCTGGAGGGGGATCCAGGTAGTGTCTGATCCATGAACTTGAGTTGGACTGGGCTCAGCTGTTTCCTTGAGAGAAATGTCTTTCTTATACATCAGTGTCACTGAGTATGTTTCTCTAGAAAACTCGGCCTAACACATTTGCCATTGTCATTTATTTACTTCTTGGTTATTCACATATTTAAGAACACTGGCTCTTTCCCCTCCAAATTCCACCAATCCTAACTGCATGTAGATGGCTTCAAAACCCTAACCGTGTGTTTTATTTAACTACTTCCTCAGCAACCCTGTAGTACTAGATTTCCAAGCCAATCATTTTCACAGAAGCAGACTGCCACATCTTTCTCCCAGAGTGGCTGGCGGATTCTAACTATCAACCATTCAGTTAGTAACCCCACTGCCCCTCCCAAAGAAAACACTAGCAACATCCAAACTCAGTGCCATCAAGTCCATTCCCTTCACTTTAAAGGACAGGTGATGAAACTGTCCCTGGGAGTTTCTAAAGCTGTTTGAATCTTCATAGGAGCAGACAGCCTCCTTTTCTCCTGCAGAGCAGCTGATGGGTTCAAACTGCAGCCCAATGCATAACCCACTACCACCAGGGTTCACAGCTGAGCTCTTTAACCACTGCACCACAACTGTCCGTGTCTAAACCAGATTTTAAATCTTTCACTCTGATCAGCTTCTCTCTGACCGCAGACAAGAGGCATTTTGGTCCATGGCTCCCCATCTCCGGCCAAACCCATTCCTGAACCTGATCAAGAACTCTTCCTGATCTCCCCTTCCATTCTCTTTTCACTTTGACAATTTGGTTTCTACTTCTCTAATTCAAGGGAACTGCTTTCAGTAAGATCATTGACTTTCTGCAATAAATCTGTTAATGTCTGGGGTTTGACCCATTCGGGATTAACAGTATTTCCAGAGTTCACAGAATTTAAACCCAAAATGAACAGTTACAAGGGGTAGGAGAAGAGACGTTCACATCCAAAGTATAGCACTAAATATGGGACACACCCTATCTTAAAAATATACACTTGGTTTTAAACTTGTCTTCCAAACATTTTTCTATATAAATACAGAAATACCATGAACTGTCATATCACACATAACACAATCATGACATTGATTATAATTAACATACTCATACCTACATATTAAGCCTCTATGACACCACGATGGTTGTTCACAGCCTGGTAGATCTCACCAATACCACAACGTACTACAACAAGTGTATTGTAATAATACTGGTGTCATTTTCATTTTCTAACTTAATTAGATATGCAATGTAGCATGGTGGGTTAAGCATGGGTTCTGGACCAGGTTGCCTGGGCCTGAATCTTGCCTCTCCCATTTCCTGAACATATGACTGGGGGCAAGTTACTCTCTGTTTTTCACTTTCCTTATATAACAAATGGGGATACTACTACATATCTGATTAATGGGTTAACACATGTGCACGGTATAAAAAAAGTGCTGTAGATACCAGCTATCCATAACATTAACGTTAGATGAGTAATGCTAAAGCACCGCTTGGATGTTTCCAGTTAAACGGTCTATCTGAATTGCTAAGCCAAACAGGACTTTTTAGCTGACCACTTACTTGACTCTGTTGACCACTTCCTCCTCCACAGAACTCTGCGGTTGAACTCCAAACACCATCTTCTGGTTCTCTTGCTCTTCTGGCTGCTCTTCCTCAGCCTCTTTCATGGGTTTCTCTTCTCCAATCCATGGTACCCAAGTGCCAACTCTTTTCTTCTCACTGTCACCCTCTCCTCGAGTTATCTTATCCCACCACCAAAACAAACAGACAAACCAATTGCCATTGAGTTAATTCCAACTCACGGCAGTCCCGTATGTTGCAGAGAACTGCACTCTATAGGGTTTTCCAAAAATGGCTGATTTTTGGAAAGTGGATTGCCAAATCTTTCTTCCAGAGTGCTTCTGAGCGGGTTCCCAGTTAGTTGTCACATGCCTAACCATTTGCACCACTAAGAGACTCCTCCATGCACTGCGCAGAGTTTAAACCATGCAGGGTTTAAAACAGTGCTAACCTTCTATCACTGGCATCACTTCACCATGATTCTCGGCATTTCCACGTATAAATAAATGTTTACCAAATATTTCTTTTCTTAAGCGCACCTTTTAATCACTTAGTTTTGGCCTAAGTGATCACATGTCCATGGCATACGTTTGATGTGCAATTTATGGCTTTCACGGACATTAATTTTTTTCTTTTTTTTTTTAAACATTTTATTAGGGGCTCATACAACTGTTATGGCAATCCATACATCAGTTGTGTAAAGCGCATTTGTACATCATTCTCAAAACATTTTCTCTCCACTTAAACCCCCAACATTAGGTCCTCATTTTCCCCTCCCTCCCCGCTCCCCCCTTCCCTCATGAGCCCTTGATAGTTTATAAATTGTTATTTTGTCATATCTTGCCCAGTCTGACGTCTCCCTTCACCCACTTTTCGGTTGTCCGTCCCCCAGGGAGAAGGTCACACTCAGTTCCATGTAATCGGTTCCCTCTTTCCTACCCACTCTCCCTCTACCCTCCCTGTTTCGCCACTCACACCACTGGTCCTGTAGGGATCATCCGCCCTGGATTCCCTGTATTTCCAGTTCCTATCTGTACCAGTGTACATTCTCTGGTCTAGCCAGACTTGCAAGGTCGAATTCAAGTCATGGTAGTGGGAGCGGGGAGGAAACATTTAGGAACTAGAGGGAAGTTGTATTTTTCATCGTTGTTACATCGCACCCTGACTGGCTCATCTCCTCCCTGAGACCCCTCTGCAAGGGGATCTCCAGTGGCCTACTAATGGGCTTTGGGTCTCCACTCCGCACTCCCCCCATCATTCACTATGGTAAGATTTTTTGTTCTGATGATGCCTTATACCTGATCCCTTCGACACCTTGTGGCTGCATAGGCTGGTATGCTTCTTCCATGTGGGCTGGACATTAATTTCTTAACTAATACTCCCATCGGTTATGGTTAAGTTATATCTTCTGGCGGACTCTACCACTGGAAGAGTATAAAAAGGTGAATTCTAGAGTTTTTTTAACTCTGTTATTTTGCTGAGCTCAAAGAAAAAGGGGAACAATCTATGCTGCCGTTTTCCCCAAAAGCAACACACTTGCATGCAACTAGAAGCATCTGCTCAAAGTTGTAGTGCCAAAGCAAGGTTAGGGAATTGAAAAGTGGCCCCAGGTGAAAGACCCTGGGCCCCAGGTCAAAGCTGATCCAAATCCTTTTAGAACAGCTGTTCTCAACCTGTGGGCTGAAACCCCTTGGAGGGTGGAACTACCCTTTCAAGGGGTCACCCGATTCATAACAAAATTCACACCAAAATTACAGTAATGAAGTAGCAACAAAAATAATTTTATGGTTGGGGGTTCATCACTGTACATCACTGTATTCTGTATGAGTAACTGTATTAAAGGGTCGTGGCATTAGGAAGGCTGCACACCACTGTTGTAGAAGAAAAGCATTAGCAAATTAGTCTCTGAAATGTCCAAAACAGACGACCAAATGAAATAGGAGTTCTACATTATTTTTTTATTTTTTTTAATCAGCAATCAAAGAAGATGACAAGTCACAAGCAGAAAAAGACAACTGAAAAAAAAACACCAGAAAATTTTCTCACATACACCCAACTACAGACATTAGAATTGCCAGGTATGGTTTATAAAATAACTACCAAAACTAAATACAGATCCCACTGTCATTGAGCCAGTTTCAATTCATAGAAATACTAATAGAGGGTTTCTAAGGAGCAGACAGCCCCATTTTTCTCCAAAGGAACAGCAAGTGGTTTTGAACTGCCTACATGTTGGGCTGCTAACCTCAAGGTCAGCAGTTCAAGACCACCAGCCACTCCTTGGGATAAAGATGAGACTGTCTGCTCCCATAGAGTTAGAGTCTCAGAAACCCAAAAGGGTGGTTCTATCCTGTCCTATAGGGTAGCTATGTGTCAGAATCAACTTGATGGCATTTAGCACTCTGTGGCTAACAGTCCAACACTAACCCGACAGCGCCAGCAAGGACTCTTTAGAATAACTACAGAATCACAAAAACTTAAAATACAACATGAGGCCTGGGTATGCCTGACAAAGTACAAAGTCAAACTTTTATTAATTAAAAATGTAACTGTTAAAATTTGTTTTTTTTAAGTGAGTGGGTCAAAGAGCAGACTAGGCACAGCTAGAAAGAAAAATGATAAACAAGAAGATAAGCCTAGTAACACTGCCCAGCCTTGTTACTCTGGTAAAGAAAGACTAAAAGAGATGAAAATACAAGGAGGCTTAGGCAGATGTAGTTAGGTTAAAATGTAGTACCTTATCATTTGATATCTCTTTTGGCCTATTTTAAAATTGTTTCGGTTTTTAATATTTTGTTTTCTTTTTCATTGAAGTTTTTCTATGTTGTGTCTAGTCGTTTGCTTCCTGTTTGTGTTTTATATGATTTTCTATATATGAAATCCAGGTTAAGTAGATTTATAGAGACATTAATGGATTGATGATTGCCTAGGGCAGCGGTTCTCAACCTGTGAGTCGCGACTCCTTTGGGGGTTGAACGACCCTTTCACAGGGATTGCCCAATTCAAAACAGTAGCAAAATGACAGTTGAAGTAGCAACGAAAATAATTTCATGGTTGGAGGATCACTGCAACATGAGACAATGTATTAAAGCATCAGGAAGGTTGAAAACCACTGGCCTAGGGGATGGTAGAGGGTGATGGGGGAAATGGGAAGCTAACAAGAATGAGTATGCCGCCAAAGTGCTCTGAAATTGATTGTGGTGGTGATCATACACAAGTCTTAATATAATTGAATGATTAAATTGTAGGATACCAAGAGGGGAAGAGGAAGGTGGGGGGAGAAAGGAAGAACTGATCACAATGATCTACATATAACCCCTCCCAGAGGGACAGACAACAGAGAAGTTGGTGAAGGGAGACATCAGTCAGTGTAAGACATGAAAAAATAATAATAATTTATAAATTTTCAAGGGTTCATGAGGGAGGGAGGGGGAAAAATGAGTTGCTGATACCAAGGGGTCAAGTAGAAAGAAAATGTTTTGAAAATGATGATGGCAACAAATGTACAAATGTGCTTGACACATGGATGCATGTATGGATTGTGATGAGTTGTATGAGGCCCCAATAAAAAGAATTTTTAAATAAATGAATTGTATTATATTTGAAGTATATGCCAATAAAATGATTTTTTTTAATTTAAAAGACTTCAAAAAGTTAATGGAAAAATAGAATTAAAAGATAAGGGAAAAAAAAAAAAAAGAAGATAAGGGAAATTTTCCATGAAATCTTTAATGCCCCCTCCTACGAAAGATAAAAAATAGGGGTATGGAAAAAGCCTAATGCATATATATCTAGTTAAGTTCCAGAAGAAGAGATTATAGAAAATCAAGGTGTTAATATGTAAAGAGCATAGAGCCAAAAAAATTTTTTGAGACCTCACCAAAGAAAAACCCTTCCAATTCATAATAGAAAGTTCATTTATTTAAAAAAAAAAAAAGTATGGTGATAGGGTAAAACAGAAAGAAAACACTTAGAGGCTAATGAAAATAAAAACACTGTACCGTGGGATGCAGTGAAACCAGTACTCGGGGAAATTTACAGCCAAAAATGGTGACATTAAAAGATATATGGATTGTGATAAGAGCTGTGAGAGCCCCTAATGATCTTTTTTTTGGGGGGGGGGGAGCCCAAATCCATAGCTTAAGTCTACATCGAGACGATAAAAAGTAGAGGACAATAAGCCTCAAGTTATCAAAAGAAAGAAAATAACAAAGATCAGAGCAGAAATAAATGTGAACAGACAAACAAGAGAGGAAACCAGAAGTTTGTATTTTGAAAAGACCACTAAACTCGACAAACCTTTAGCTAGACCACATAAACTCAACAAACCTTTAGCTAGAGTAACAAAGGAAATATCTAATGCAAATATCTAAAATTCTAAATCAAAGTAGGGATATTCTAAACCACGTCATGGAAAGCAAAAGGACTGTGAGGAAATACTATGAACAGCTGCATGCCAACAAATCAGATAACAGACTAAGTGGGCAAATTCCTAGAAGTGTGAACTTCCTACATTGGCTCAAAAGACCCACAGAAGTGAGTCATTAATCAAAATCAGAGAAAAGTCCTAAACCATATGACTTCACTTGGGAATTCTAAACATTTCTAGAACTGGCTCCAATTCTATGTAAGCCTTTCCCCCCCACACACACACAAAAACAGAATAGGAGAGAACACTCCCTCCTAACCTATTCTATGAGGCAAGCATGTCCTGATATCAAAGCCGACATAGGAACAAGAAAGCTATAGGCCTTATAACTTAAAAAAATAGATGTAAAAATCTTCAACAAACTAAATCTAAAAGCATATTAAAAGGATTATGGAACACCATGAGCTAGTGAGATTTATATCAGAAATGCAAGGGTGGTTCAACATTAGAAAATCAACCAATGTAATACACCACAGTAACAATACGAAAGATTAAAACCATAAGATCATCTCAGTCAACGCAAAAAAAGGCTTTGGACAAAATTCAACACCTTTCATGATAAAAACTCTCAAGAAAATCAATATAGTAAAGGTCATTTATGAAAAACCCACAGCTAACATCATACTCAAGTGGAGAAAGACTAAGAGAGCTTTCCCATTAAGCTTAAGACAAAATATGCCCTCTCATCCCAGCTATTCAACAATGTAGTGAAAAGTCCTGGGGAGGAGCAGGGGCGGGCAGGGAGAGGTATAA